ATCCAACTTAATATTATCACAGATCACACTTCTCTTACTCAATCAAGATATGGATGACTTTAAAGTTGGCGTAATCGACAAGGATTTTAATGTCAGAGAAATCACACTACCCGGATCTTCGCAAGGAGGTTCAGCTGAATACCCCTCATCTTGGTTTAGGGACAATGGTGCTGTTAAGCCACCTATTAACACCAGCCTTAAGCCGGAGTCTGTGGAATTGTGGGATAAGCTGTTAGGCTATAATCTCCACACCATGGTAAATCCACACATCGCGGTGCTGTTTATGATAGATTATATCATGGACAACTTCATTGCTGTAAGTACTCAAGACTGGAAGTCCTATGGAGTACATATAGCAGGGAGAGGAGCGCACGTGACCCCAATGTCCCTATTGTCAATCAAATCTGGCACAAACGTAATTATAGGAACGGAGGGACCAGAGATAACTGAAATGGAAAAACATAGACTCTTTTATATCTTAGTGGCCGGGTACAGATATGGTTTGGCCTCGGAGATTATTCAAGGTGACTATAAGGCTACGGTACTTGGGAAAATTAACCAAGTTCTGCGGAACGATCCCTATAATCTAGAGAGTGACCTGACTCCTACGGAACTATCCCGGTCTAAGTCCTGGTATAACAATCTGGAATTCAGAAAGTTGATAGCCGCCCTGGACATGTTCTGGACAAAGTTCCCGGATTCTTCAGGGGCAAAGCTAAGAGTATGCACCCTGAATTCCCGGTTTAAGGACTGCTCATCCATCAGTGAAATAAGACATCTGTCGGAGGTATCTGGAAAGAAGGTCGGGGATATACTTAGATATATATTTAGTGCAAGGGTGGGGGAGGAAATCATGAAAATCGGAAAAGAAGGAGAAGAGGTGAACCAAGAAGATTCTTATTTTCCTTACATGCGGGAGTTGGGCCTCTCTAAGAGATCCCCTTATTCTTCGACCGAAAACGTACATCTACACAACTGGATCTCCATCTTCTGCGCACTGTTAGGGAGTGAGAGGTCGTTCAATGCAAGGGTTGTTTCAGAAAATGGTCTAATGATATCCTTAAACTTGGCAATACTTGCAGCGTATGCTTTCAAGACATACTCATCTCCCACGATTGTATTCGGAACTAAGGAAGATGCGGAAGAGGCAAAAATGTTGAAGGAGATTGATGAGGAGGAAGGTTCAACTGACTGTGCTTTCGATCCAGCGTCTCCCATGGGAGTTTATAAACACATGTCCGATAACTCAAACTCAATACCACCGGATGTAAAACAAGTGTTTGTTACCCTATTATCTAAAATGGCTTTTACTTCAGTATTTTTATATTCCAGACCACAATCACTTCTTAAAGTAATTACTGAAATATTTAACTGATTTTTGACTGTATTTAAAAATAGTTCAAATTTATTTTTAACTTCTGATTTTTGGCTCATAAAATACACATATGTATATTTAGAATAATCATCCTTGAATATAACAAAATACCGTTTACCTCCAAGTGAATTTTCCT